CACCACAGCTGTGTCAACCACAAGCTTGGTGTCGGATCTCAAGGAAGCAGTTGAAGGTGACAATCACGTAAGAGAGTTACAAGTTTGATACCTGTGGTCATGTGGGATGGATTATCCGCAAAACAAAGTTGTCTTAAAATTTTTCTTTTAATTTATTGTTTTGTAGGACATGGATGTTACTGACCGTGGCAGCATTTATTACCCGTCCCTAGTTACCCCTGAAGTGGTGGTGGTGGAGCCACTGCCCTGAAGGACGGCAGTTCATGTACCACAATGCCCTTAGGGAGGGAATTCCTTAACAAATACCCTCGATTCAATAACAGGTCAGAATCAGAGCATCTATATCTTACAAGGTAGAGTAGTGGAGAAATGTCCAGGAATTTGTAAGTGACATTTCAGCAAAGATGAAAGTGTTTATAATGAGTCTCAAGGCTTTTGCAGAATGCGAGAGGGGTGGAAGAGAGACCAAGACTTTGCTCTGCAATCCATCCACTTTTTGACAACTATGGCACAATAGGTAGCACCTCAACATTGTTGGCCATGTAGTCACTTCCTAAATCTGAGCCTTCCTTCCTGGAATTTCATGATGTGACAAAGATAATCTTCCCTTCCTCATCCTTCTCAATCTGCTTGCAGCCTTGGATCGTAACATGCTCCTCAATTCTTCTCCATCATCATCATCCTTCTGTCACTGCTCTCGTGTGGTTCCAATCCTATGATTATTTCTAATCAACCTGTTGAGACATGATGACACCATTCTAAGCCAGGTGGGACTTGAACACAGACTTTCTGGCCCAGTGGTAGAGCCACCAACATTGCAGGCCCTGTGGTAGGGCCACCAATGCTGCATCAGAAGAGCCTTCTGGTTCCAGTCTTACATATCTAATTGTAGCTCGAGAATAATTTTGCAATGGTTTCCCAGCTCCTGCATCAACACCACTGGTGTTCCTAAGAATCTATCTTTGGCCCACTCCTATTCCCTTACTGTGGGGGTTGGTTAACTCAGTTGGCTGGATGACTAGTTTGGAATGCAGAGTGTTACCAACAGCATTGTTTCAATTCCCGTACTGGCTGAGGTTACCATGAGACTCCTTTTCGACATCTCCACCCATCTGAGGCGTGGTGACCCTCAGGTTAAACTACCACCAGTTGTCTGTCTCTCTAATGAAAGAGTAGCCCTAAGGCCCTCTGGGTTTATGGTGACTTTACCTGTCTGCTCCCTACATGTGTTCTTGGCCACAACAAAGAATCATTACGGTGCAGTATGATCGGAAATCTGCTTTAATTTTCACATGTGCTGAAGGTAACTTCTACCTGACCATCACCCTTCTCGACTCAGCTGTTGCTATAATATTAGACTGCTTATCTGGCTTCTAGTGTTGGTTGAACAGAAATTTTCACAAGAGGACTGAAGGCATTGTTTTCAATAAAAAAAAACTGCAGATGCTGGAAATCTGAAGCAAAAACAGAAATTGCTGGAAAACCCAACAGGTCTGATGCCATTCTGTGGAGAGAAAGCACAGTTAACGTTTCCGATTCAGTGACTGCTATTTTCCAACTCCATAACGTTGCTTGACATTGCCCCATATCAGCTCACCAGCTGCTGAAACCCTCATATCTGTGACAAAAACAAAAATTGCTGGAAAAGCAATTAGAATCATGAAACTAGAAGATTGGGAAAACTTTAAAGGTCAACAGAAAGCCACAAAAAGAGCTATAAGGAAAAGTAAGACAGAACATGAGAAAAAACTAGCACAGAATATAAAGACAGATAGGAAAAGTTTCTATAAATATATAAAACGAAAAAGAGCGGCTAAAGTAAACATTGGCCCTTTAGAGCATGAGAAGGGAAATTTAGTTATGGGATATGATGAAATGGCCGAGGCATTGAACAGGTATTTTGTATCGGTCTTCACAGTAGAGGACACTAATAACATGCCAGTAATTGACAAAGAGACGAAGGTAGGTGAGGACCTGGAAACAATCATAATTACGGAAGAGGTAGTGTTGGGCAAGCTAATGGAGCTAAGGATTGATAAGTCTCCTGGCCCTGATGGAATGCATCCCAGGGTACTAAAAGAGATGGCAGGAGAAATAGCAGGTGCACTGGCGGTCATTTTCCAAAATTCACTGGACTCTGGGGCAGTCCCAGCAGATTGGAAAACAGCCACTGTTTAAAAAGGGAAGTAGACAAAAGATGGGGAATTATAGACCGGTTAGCTTAACCTCTGTAGTGGGGAAGATGCTTGAGTCTATTATCAAGGAAGAAATAGCAAGGCATCTTGATAGAAATTGTCCCGTTGGGCAGACGCAGCATGGGTTCATGAAGGGCAGGTCATGCTTGACAAATCTTTTGGAATTCTATGAAGACATTACGAGCGAAGTGGACAACGGGGACCCAGTGAATGTGGTGTACCTAGACTTCCAAAAGGCCTTTGACAAGGTGCCGCACAAGAGGCTACTGCATAAGGATGCATGGCATTAAGGGTAAAGTATTAGCATGGATAGAGGATTGGTTGACTAACAGGAAACAAAGAGTGGGGATAAATGAGTGCTATTCTAGCTGGCAGTCAGTGACTTGTGGTGTGCCTCAGGGATCGGTGTTGGGACTGCAATTATTTACAATTTATATAGATGATTTGGAGCTGGGGACCACGTGTAGGGTGTCAAAGTTTGCAGATGACACTAAGGTGAGTGGCAAAGCAAAGTGTGCAGCGGACTGTGAAACTTTGCAGAGGAACATAGATACATTGAGTGAGTGGGCAAAGGTCTGGCAGATGGAATACAATGTAAATAAATGTGAAGTCATACATTTTGGTAGGAGTAATAGTAAAAAGGATTATTACTTGAATGGTAAAAAGTTGCAGCATGCTGCTATGCAGAGGGACCTGGGTGTCCTTGTGCATGAATCACAGAAGGTAGGTCTGCAAGGTACAACAAGTAATTAGGAAGGCAAATGGAATTTTGTCCTTCATTGCTAAAGGGATTGAAATAAAAAGCAGAGAGGTTATGTTGCAGCTGTACAAGGTGCTGGTGAGGCCACACCTGGAGTACTGTGTGCAGTTTTGGTCTCCTTACTCGAGAAAGGATGTACTGGCACTGGAGGGGGTGCAATGGAGGTTCACTAGGTTGATTCCGGAGTTGAGGGGGTTGGCTTATGAAGAGGGACTGAGTAGATTGGGATTATATTCATTGGAATTCAGAAGGTTGAGGGGGAATCTTATAGAAACATATAAAATTACGAAGGGAATAGATAAGATAGAAGTAGAGAGGATGTTTCCACTGGCAGGTGAAGCTAGGACAAGACGGCATAGCCTCAAGATTAGAGGGAGCAGATTTAGGACTGAACTGAGAAGGAATTTCTTTACCCAGAGGGTTGTTAATCTATGGAATTCCTTGCCCAGTGAAGTAGTTGACGCTACTTCAGTAAATGTTTTTAAAAAAAAGGTAGATTTTTTTGAACAATAAAGGAATTAAGGGATACGGTGAGAACGCGGGTAAGTGGATCTGAGTCCACGAAAGGATCAGCCATGATCTTATTGAATGGCAGAGCAGGCTCGAAGGGCCGGACGATCTACTCCTGCTCCTAGTTCTTATGTTCTTGAAAGCTCAGCTGATCTGGCAGCATCTGTGGAGAGAAAGCAAAGTTAACGTTTTGGGTCAAGTGACCCTTCCTCAGAATTGCAGATGCTTCCGGAGGGAAGAGGGTAACTTCTTCAGGTTAGGCATCCTTAGAAGAGGCTTCGCAGTGGGGTTAAAATTGAATCAGAGATAGCACTTTCGGTCACTCGACCAGAAACATTAACTCTGCTTTCTCTCCACAGATGCTACCAGGCCTGTTGAGCTTTTCCAGCAATTTGTGTTTTTGTTTCTGATTTACAGTTCTTTCAGTTTCCTTCACATCCATGACTTTGTTACTCCAAAACTTGACGATATCCCAGTACAACTTGCCATCTACATTTGATAAATTTGAGGTCATACAAAATTCTGCTATTGTAATGTACAACAAATTCCATTTACCTGTAATTTTTTGCTCACAGACTCACACGAAGTCCTGTTCAAAATGCTTTGGATTTGAAAATTTTCTTCCTTATTTTCAAATCTCTACGCCCCATCTAAATCTTCTCCAACCCCACAACCCTCCAACTATCTGCAACTCTTCTAATTCTAACCACTTCAGCATCCCTGATTTTTAATTGCTCCACCATTAGTTGCTGTGCCTTCAAACTCTGGAACACCTACTCTTCATCTAGTTTTTCCTCATTTAAGGCACTCCTAAAACCATGGATGCAGCCTGACCCACTGTGATTTCCAACATTTTTTTGTTTTCAGTACAGATTCCAGCATCTGCAGTAATTTGCTCCTACTTCTACAATTTAACCTTTAAATAAGCTTTCAGTCATTTTCATGAATATTTCCTCGTGACTTGGTGTCACATTTTATCTTATAATGGCCTCATGAAGTACCTTGGGATATTTTGTTATGCTGTACAAGTTGTTGTTAGAGCAAGATCTGAACAACAATTTATATAGTACCTTTAAGATAAGTAATGTTCCCAAGACACTTCACAGATATTAAGTATGACATCAGACACTGGAGCACAAAATGCGGTCCAGCACTCCAATGCAACATTGAGTGAGCACGGAGGCACTATCCTTCAGATGAGACCTTCTCAAGTGAATGTAAAAGACTTCACAGCATGATTTATGAAAAGACAACTTCTCCCCAATGTTCCAGAACTACACCCCTCATTCAACTGCAAAAAATCTTACAGATTATTTGGTAATTCTCATCTTGTGAAAACTGGCTTCAATGACGAGAGTGATTGTACTTCAAAAATACTTAATTGGTTGTAAATTGTTCTGGAATGTCCTGTGAAAGGCAGTGTAGAAATGCTATTTATTTTTGACCCTCAATACCGTTCTATCTCTTGCCATGAAAGTATAAATGTCTGGTGCACATCAGAAGCAGGTTAAAGTAAACAAAAAGGAGGCACTAAGTTAAAGTGATAAATTTTGACTTTAATTCGATCCTGATCCAGTAACCAGACCAATACCAACAAGGCCAGTACAGTAATAACAAAAAACTCCTAATTACATCTGCCTTTTATTCAAAATAAATTAATTGACAGCCAAGAATGCAATTAAGACTACTCAGCGAATAATAATTAAGGTACACTTATTAACAGCATATAGACAGTATGTAGAATTCCAAAGGTGTAGATAAGTAAAAGCAAAATGAAATTTCCAGTGTCTTTATTTCATTACTGAACTGGTGTTAACCCCTTGCATAAAACACCACTTGCAAATAGATTCTCCTCTGAGCATTTCTGGAAAGTGAACTTTTGTTCTTAAGTGCCATACAAAATCAGCAATAAAACATGACATACATGAATGCAAATGGAATAAAATCGAAGTACTGGAGGATCTCAGCAGATCAGACAGCATCTGTGGAGGGAGCGAGGGTGGGGGAAAGACAGAGAGAGAGTTCTGAAGAAGTCATTTGGATTCAAAATGTTAACTTTGTTTCCCCCTCCATAGACACTGCCAGATGTGTTGAGTTTCACCAGCAATTTCAGCCTTTACTGCAGATCTCCTTTATCTGCAGTACTTTGCCTTTAATGTTGTAAATTGACCCTGCCTCCTTTTCACATCCAAAGAAATAAAATCAGTTCCAATGAGTCAGTTGGTACCATAAGGAATCAATTTTGTCAACCTGCTTTTTCAGAAATTACTAAAGCAAAGTTTTATTTTGAAAATGAATCTTGAGTCACAAATGCCATTTTATCCCGACTGTTCTGAAGAGTTAAATTTGATTTGAACATTAATTTTCATTTCTTTCTCCGTAGAACTTGAACATTTCTGTTAGTTTCTTCTTTATTTCGGATTTTCAGTATTTGCAAAACTTTGCTTTTATTTATCACAAAAATTTTCATGCAGAATGGAGCTGGTTTGGAAATGAGAAGAAAATGAACAAGGTCCCAATGCAGGTGTAAACAAATTGATAAAACATGCATTGCAACTTTGCTTTTATTAAAAAAAAGTTTACGTAAATATATAATAATCTAGAAGTGTTCACGTTGGATTATGGCACAAATAAAGGAAATCATGTCGGAGTAAGGAACCAGCCCTCCAGCCTTGAACTGGAGTCACCAAGATTGGAAGACTAATCTTCTAGATCAGGGGGGTTGCCTTAAACAAAATAATCCAATTGTCTTCAAGCAACATTAGCAATTAAAAAGCCATCTGACTGACAGTTGGATGACAGAGTCTGTTCCCTCTGATTGGACGTGAGACGCCACAAGGTTGAACAGTTAATGCTGGGACAGTGGGGAGGGAGGTCTGGACAGGTACAGGTCACATGATTAAAACCTCCAGCAATACATCAAATCAGAGTTGGTAAGCACCCCCCCAATCCCAGTCTGGACATCAATAACATCAAGGTTTGAGATGAAGATACACAGCTTTAGCCCTAATACTCATATCTATTAATCCCCTCTTCTATCACCTCTTCTCTCAAACAATGAGATTGTAAATCCAGCTGTTTAAGCAACAAATCAAGGGCTGGACAAAAAAAAGAGAGAAATTTATAAACTGCTCTTATTACAACACAAATTATTTTAATTTTCCTCCATTCTAGCAAAGTATTAAAGTAACTAGAAATTGCTGGAGACACTCAACAGGTCTGGCAGCGTCTGTGAAGAGAAAACAGAGTTAATGTTCACAGTCTTGTGACCCTTCTGCTGAGCTTCTCCAGCAATTTCTGTTTTTGTTTGTTTCAGATCTTCAGCATCTGCAGTTCTTTGTTTTATTACATTAAAGCGACTATTTGAGTAAAAATCATACTTATGTGTTTGGAATCCACAAATTGCAAAAACCAAAATAAAACATGTTGTCGTGAACTTTTTCTCCCCCCACACTCTTGAAATTCTTATTTGTATATTTTATTGCACCCAGTGGGATACGTAGTAAAATACAATCAAAAGAGGTGTTCTTTACAACATAAGCATTTAAAAATATCGACATAATCCTAGTGTTTATATTAAAGTGCAAAGAAGTATTTGAAAATAAAAAAAACCTTCTCTCTACTGCTATTTTGATTGCAAGGGAGTCACAGGACTAATCCATTTTGCAAAAGTTTTTCACTGTACTGCTACAATGGGGCACACGTGACAAATAAAAGGATATTGTATACTGAAAGGCAAGCACAGATGCTCAGTGAGTGAAGGACGAGGAAATGGAAATGCCAAAACAAATACTGTTGACACAAGCATACAATCAGAAATAGCAAAGGAGTTTCAACCACTGAAACAAACCTCCCAAGCTACACAATTTGGGGATGAGAAAAAGAAAGTGAAAAGTGGGCAGCCTATGCAATTTATCAGAACTGAATCTACAAGTCTTCATTATGTTAAAGTGACTACCCTTTTAAAATACTTTTCAAAAAAAAACCTGTCTTCACAGATGATGAAGGATGATCACATGCATTTTCAGCATTTTGTGCGCTCAGATACTGCTACAATTCTGTTTTCATAGGAAGTGAAATGAAAACAGGAAGCACTTTCAGTTTTATATCCATCCCCTTATACTCCCATAAGAGACAGTGTGTTAGAACTGTAGCGTTACTGACAGCTGCCACCCATTAGTGAATTAACTATCAAGGGCAGAAATGGCACTAAGAAAGAAAGGAAGTTTAATTAGAGAACAGGGCACTGTTCAGGAAAGTCATCCAAAACAGACCCGGTCCCAAATATACATTTCTGAATATATTCAGAGATTAAAATGAATCATTAGTTCTTGATAAACTTTCGAGAAGACAGTCAGTACAGGCATGATGGAGCCAAGTATCCTTCATAGGTCATTGTTAGTAGAAACCCATGAACTCCTGGCAGGCAGAAGCTTCAAGTACAGTTAATACAGCAAGCAGGGTGGAGCCTACAAGTTACTGAATAACAATGTATAGAAAAGCAAGAGAAACATACTCCAGGGATAAAATTTGCCTCAGTGTCTTCAGCTCGGGCATGGCCCTAATGTTCCACAATTCCTGCTGTCCCCAGCACCCTAGGCGAGTACCATACCTGCTTATTCTCAAACAGCATGTTTAAAGTTTAACTGGATGAACTCTAGTAAACATCTTTTCCTTTAATCTTCAACAGTCAATGGTCATTTCACCAGATTTGGATTCCAAATCTTATATTTCTCAATCAAATTCTAGACTGTCCCAAATAGAGTAAACCTAATAAAAGCAAAATATTACTTACCCATGAACTGCCAGAGACTCTCAGCTTGTGCTAACCCCTCTCTGACCCACAATTAATTACAATAAAAATCTATAGGGTCAAAATTAACAAATATTCACCTTGAAATGATTTTGGTTTTGATTTTAAGTTCCACCCTTTCTGATCCATAGTGTTTGAACGGAAAGTGCTGGGAGATCTTAAATCTGGCTTTATTTAATTAATGCTGGACTCCCAACCTGTAAATACTGAAAGGTTAGGGCTCAAATACGGTGTCCCCACCCACACCACCCCTTCCAAAATACTGCTCTGGTTACTTCTTCACAGCTTTGTTCAGTGTTAAAAACTCAGATCATTCAACCTTCCCTCTTGTTTCCATCCCAGGTTCATCTGGAATAATTCACTCTGTTCATGAAATGAATGCGCACGTGCACAAATGTATACCCTGACTACCGGAAGGCAACTTATTAGTTTTTGTCACTTAAGAGGTGCTTTCAAAACAGCAACAGCGTTAGGCACAAATAACTTTTACAACTAAAAGTCTGCTCTACAAGCTGTTAGTAGCAAGCTATCTTTCAGCGTGGCTATACCTGGGCAAATAATATAACCTTAGTAATAAAACTGATTCTCTTTTGATTTTATATTCAGTTCCTGTTGTTTATAGATACAATACTTTGTCTTTAAAAAGAATGGGAAGCTGAGCACTGAGCCTATGTCAGTGACTTGCCTTTGCCTCTAGTCTGGGTTTAAGGTGTGTTTTAGGATATTTGCTCTAAGGTAGGTGAAAATAGGGCCGCACTAGAGACAGAAATCAGCTCAATCCATAAGTTTCATCAGTGGCTGATTCTCTGGCTTGAGAAGGACTTTGACTCTGACTTGGAGAGGGAGGGATTTGCCTACAGGCCACTGGAAGCTAATCAAGATCACAGCCCTGAAATCTCTCCCTTGACAGAATACAAACTTCTAGCATGTGGTAGTTACACCGGTTGATAAAACATGGTCCAGGTAGGACAGCGATACCAACACTAAGTTCCTCTCAGCGTCAGGACACGGGTTGGGGGCAGTTTTGAGTCAGCTGGACATCGGCGATAGTTCCTGGTCACTGGATGAGCTGACCTGCCGCTCCATTGCCCTTTGACTCTTGCACTTTGCAATCTTGGGACCCACGTCCACCCGCTTCTCGAAGAACCCAACAAGAGCTGGTTCGGTCAGCACCGAGGCCAGAATCTGCTCGAAAGAGATGGACCAATCCATGTCAATGGCACTGGGCCGCCCCTGGGCCGCTGCTGCTTGCTCACAGCCAACCAGGACTGTGTCCTCCGAGATGTCTTCACACAGGAGGGAGCCAGAGCTCACCATAGAGTATGAGGACATTGAAGTGTCATCCCTCACCTCCTCATCAGTTAACGACTGCACTGTCGAGGTCTCCCTCCTTGTGGCCACGCACTCGGCCAGCTTCATGCGTTCCATCTGGGTCTTCAATGTGTCACTTAATACACCTGATTCATAGTCTGCTTTGACGTTGGTCTGAGCCACTTCAGCCTTTGCCTCTTCTGGAGTGGAGACCCCGTCCTTACTCTGGATGCCCAAGCCCTTGTGATCCCCCATGTCGTTTGCCCTCCTAGACGCCGGGCTGGAGAACTGTTTGCCGACTTCTCCGATCTGGAGCAGCAGCGTAGCAACGGTTGCTATGGCGTGGTAGAGCTCTCCCTCAGCTGGGTCCTCACTGAACATGTTGTATAAGGTTTTGCACATCTCTATAAACTGTTCCTGCAGCAGAGGAAGTAAACAGAGTGAAAGAAAAGGTGTGAAAAAAAGGAAAGCTCTCAAGTTACAGAGAACAATATTAAGAGCAGGAGGCAGCCATTCAGTATCTTGAGCCTTTTACATCAAAGAACAAGGAGATCATTCAATCCCCTTGGACTTTTTAAACAATATCTCAGATGATTTTGAGCCAAATTTTGTTGTATTACACGGCTATGAATTGAAGTTAGAGAGACTTCTTGATAGCTTTAAAAGTTCTGTATAAATAGAATAATATCAGAATGGGGACCATATAAAAACAGACCATTCAGACCATTGTGACTGTGTGGGCCTCTGAAGAAGCAGTTCATCTATTGCCAACCCACTAACCGTTCCATGTCCTAGAATTTTTCCTTTTTAGATAAAGATTCAATTTACTTTTGAATGTCTTCATCAAACCTGCCTCTATCACCTCTCAGACTTTACTCTGCAGATCCTAACCATTTGATGCGTGAAAAAAGGTGCCTTAGATGTGTGCCCTCCAGTTCTCAATCCATCCAAGTTTCTCCACATCAACTCTGTCCAGATCCCCCATGATTTTGAATCTCTTTGTTAGATCTCATTTCAACGTCCTCTTCTCCAAGTATATGTAACTGAAGTTCCTCATTCCTGGAACCATTTTCTTAAATATTTTCTGCACTCTCACTAACGTTTGCATATCCTTCCCAAAGTCCAGTACCCAGAACTAGACACAGTACTCCAAGTGAGGCCGGACCAGCATTTTACACAGGATTAATACAACTTGCTTGCTTTTGTACTCATTGCAACTCATCAGTAAAGCCACATAATTGATGAATTGTGCTCTCAACCTGTCCTGCCACCTGCAATAATTTATGCACATATACACCCAGATCCCTCTGCTCCTTTACTTTACATGTCTATGTTCTTCATATATCAAAGTCACTAACACCTAGCAGGAATGACAGGGATCCTAACACCGATCCCTGGAGAACTTTCACCCAGTCCAATTTCATAGCAACATTGTTAGCATCCACTGAGCTCTAACTTTTCTAACAAGTCTGTTGTGTGGCACTGTATCAAATGCTTTTTGAAAGTTCATGTACACATCAACTGCATTACTCTCATCAACTCGCTCTGAAGTTAGCTGATCGAAAAACCCAAGCAAGTTTGTTAAACAAGATTTGCTTGTTACAAATCCACACTAGCTTTCTTTAAATCACTGATGTATGCCCAACTGGCTATTCACGTTAGCCCATACTTTTATTCTAAAAGTTTCCCCATCCCAGAGGTTTAAGCAACTGCCCTATAGTTGCTGGGCTTACCTTTATACCTTGTTTTTGAACAAGGGCATTGCTCAAGTGCTCGCCGGTCAAAAGAAGATTGGAAAATTGTGGCCAAAGCCTGTACAATTTCCACACTCATTCCCTTCAGCATTCCCCCATCTCATTCAGTCCTGGCACCCTGCCAACTTATCCATAGCCAACATAAACTTATGATACAATGATCACTTGTATCCTAATATCCAATTATCCCACTTTATTCCCAAGAACTAGGTCCAATAGTGTCTCCTTTGAATTGTTATTTGTAGAATAATGGTTGAGAGAAATTTGGTCTCTCAATGACTGATCTTTAACAATGATTAATGGCTGCATCAATATTGCTATTGGAGCACTAAAGAAACCCAGCTCCTTCCTTTAACCACATCATCAGACCTTGTACCTGGTTCATTTTAGTCAACTCTTTAATGTTGTCCTTTGGGTTTTCTTTCTCACGAGCCCATAGCCTCAGGTGATATCTGTAATCTTGTGAACCAGTCTTCTCATCTACATCGAGATAAAATTGGTTTTAGAGAGAACAGACTTTGACACAACTTCAATAAGTGAAGGTCAAACCCAACAGTCTACAGGGCAAGGAATTAGTCTCAGTCTGTTACTTAGAGGCTGTGATCACAACAAACATTTGCCCGAATAAAACAGATTCTCTGCATTACCCACAAAGCGGCTAATGCTTTAAAAAACAAATTCACTGGAATCTGGGCTGAGCATCCCATGTTGCCATCAAGGAGTTGTTTCAGTCCATGTGATGTAGGCCCACAATGGTATTAGGGACGGATGTGCAGGATTTTGACCCAGTGACAGTGAAAAAACAGTGACGTTTCCAAGTCAGGATAGTGAGTGGCTCGGCGGGGAACTTGCAAGTGGTGGCATTCCTATTTGTTTGCTGTTGTTGTCCTTCTCGAAGGTAGTGGTTGTGGTTTGGAAAGCACTCCCTAAGGAGACTTGGTGAATATCTGCAATGGATCATATAGATAGTATGTACTACTGCTACTGAGCATCAGTGGTGGGGGGAACTGAATATTTGCAGATGAGACACCAACGAAGCGGCAGCTTCGTCCTGGACGGTGTCAAGCTTCTTGACTGTTATGGAGTCATCGAGTCATATAGCAAGAAAATATACCCTTTGGTCCAACTTGTCCATGCCAACTAAGTTTTCCAAACTAAACTAGTCCCATTTGCCAGCATTTGGCCCATATCCCTCTAAACCTTTCCTATTCATGTATCTGTCCAAAAGTCTTTTAAATGTTGTAACTGTACTTGCATCTACTACTTCTTCTGGCTGTTCATTCCACATACAGACCACCCTGTGTGAAAAAGTTGCCCCTCAGGTCCCTTTTAAATCTTTCTCCTCTCACCTTAAAAATACGCCCTTCAGTTTTGAACTCACCCACTCTAGAGAAAAGACCTTTGCTGTTCACCTTATCTATGCCCGTCATGATTTTATAAACTTCTTTCTCAGTCCCTAAATGGCACATGCGGTATCCCTAGATTATGACCCTGGTTATGGAACATCCTTCCCGCATTTACCTTGTCTAGCCCTATTAGAACTTTATAGGTTTCTAAGAGTTCCCCGCCCCTCCAATTCTTCTAAGCTCAGTGAATATAGTCCAAACTGATCCAATCTCTCTTGGTGCACCAGTTCTGCCATCTCAGGAATCAATCTGCCAAAACTGTTGGAGCTGCATTCATCCAGGCAGATTAGGAATAGTCCATCACACTCCTGACATGTGCCTTTTAGATGGTGGACAGGCTTCTGAGAGTCAGTAAGTGAGTTACTTGCTGCAAGATTCCTAGCTTCTGACCTGCTCTTATAGCCACATTATTTGTATGACTAGTCCAGTTCAGTTTCTACTCAATGGTAACGCAGGGATGTTTATAGTGGGTGAATCAGTGATGCTGATGACATTGAATGATTCTCTCTTTTTGAAAGTGGCCACTGCCTGGCATTTAAGTGGCACAAATATTACTTGCCACTTTTCAGCCCAAACCCAGATATTGTTCAGGTCTTGCTGCATTTGGACATGGAACAGTGTCTGAGGAATCAGGAATAGAGCTGAACATTGTGCAGTCATCAGTGACCATTCCCACTTCTAATCTTATGATAAAGAGAAGGTTACTGATGAAGCAGCTGAAAGATGGTTAGGGCTAGGACACTACCACGAGGAACTCCCGCAAAGATGTCCAGGAGCTGAGATGACTAACCTCCAACAACCACAACCATCTTCCTATATACCAGGGCAATTGTAGGAAAATCTACAGTACGTGGACTACAGTGGTTCAAGAAGGCAGCTCATGACCACCTTCTCAAGGGCAACTAGGGATGGGCATTAAATGCTGGCCAGCACATCCCATGAGTAAATAAAACATATGCCGACTCCAACCAGCAGAAAAGTGTGCCCAATTCCCAATGTCTCCAGTTTTGCTAGAGCCCCTTGATGATATACCCGATCAAATGCAGAATTGATGTCAAGTGTAATCACCCTCACTTCAACTCTGCAATTCAAACTGTCTTGTTCATGTTTGATCTGAGGTGGGAATGAGGTCAGAAGCCAGGTGGCTCAGGTGGAATCTAAACTACAGATGCTGGAACACAGGTCGTCAGTACTATTGTATCAGAGATAGTAGGAACTACAGATGCTGGAGAATCTGAGATAACAAGGTGTAGAGCTGGATGAACACAGCAGGCCAAGCAGCATCTTAGGAGCAGGAAGGCTGACGTTTCGGGCCTAGACCCTTCATCAGAAATCGGGGAGGGGAAGGGGGTTCTGAAATAAATAGGGAGAGAGGGGGAGGCGGATAGAGGATGGATAGAGGAGAGGAGAGGAAACAGATAGGTCAAAGAGGCGGGAATGGAGCCAGTAAAGGTGAGTGTAGGTGGGTAGGTAGGGAGGAGATAGGTCAGTCCAGGGAGGACGGACAGGTCAAGGGGGCGGGATGAGGTTAGTAGGTAGGAAATGGGGATGCGGCTTGAGGTGGGAGGAAGAACAGGTTAGGGAGGCGGGGACGAGCTGGGCTGGTTTTGGGATGCGGTAGAGGGAGGGGAGATTTTGAAGCTTGTGAAATCCACATTGATACCATTGGGCTGCAGGGTTCCCAAGCGGAATGAGCTGCTGTTCCTGCAACCTTTGGGTGGCATCGTTGTGGCACTGCAGGAGGCCCAGGATGGACACGTCGTCTGAGGAATGGGAGGGGGAGTTGAAATGGTTCGCAACTGGGAGGTGCAGTTGTTTATTGCGAACCGAGCGTAGGTGTTCTGCAAAGCGGTCCCCAAGCCTCCGCTTGGTTTCCCTGATGTAGAGGAGGCCACAACGGGTACAGCGGATGCAGTATACCACATTAGCAGATGTGCAGGTCCTACAGCCTGTGCAGTATCCAGTGCCTCCAGCCATTTCTTAATATCATATAGAGTGAATCAAATTGGCTGAAGACTGGTATTTTTAGTTCTGAGGAAGGAAACTTCCCACCTGGCTACATTTCTTTCTTAAACCCAAGACTGGATGGAGCACCATTTCATAACAGATGACATTTTAGGGGAATCATTGATTTAATTTCTTTACTTAGCTTATATCATGCCGACCAATGCAGACTTCGTCATAAGTGAGCTGTGCTCTGCACAGTTCTAAGTACTTAATTGGCTACAAAGCACAATGGGATATTTTCAGGATGTGCAAGGCGCTACAGAAATGTAGGTCAATTATTTAAAAAGAACACACATATTTAAATAGCCTGGGAACATATGTAAGTAAAGTTAATCAACAAGTGTATCAATTGATGTTGAATCTGGTACATTATACACTCACCAAATGTTAATCGAGACAAAATCTCAAACTGTGCAGAATCCAACTAACCAATCACCTGTCTCCCAGCTATTGTTCCAAACTCTTCCAGTGTTAGCCCTTTGTGTGCCAATCCCAACTTGACTCAACCATTCACAATCAATCAACCATTAGCAACACAGAAGAGGCTAAGAGATAGAAAAATGGACAATAGCACAAAAGTGCCTGTCAATATCCTTGGTTTTACTGTCAGTGACTCCCCAGTAACACTCTAATTTTACAATTCTACTTGTCATAATTCACTCCCTCCATGGTATCCCCTCTTTCCAAATCTCTTGAAAGCTCCTACAGTCTGAAACCGTCAAATCGGTGTTCACCTAATGCTGGCCTCTTCACAGCACAACCAATTCACTAGACTGATTCTTGGAATGATGGAATTATCCTATATTCCTACTAAGCTGCAGAGCAGTGGAGCCACTCGGAGGGTCAGTACATTCTGGGTGCATCAACGTTTGGTCTCAGAAGTTGCTGCCACGCCTACTCCTCAGAGGTGGAAAGGTTAGACAGAAAATAGAATGTAGGAGGAGAGATCAAGGCCTACATTCTCTCCTGTTTAGAAGAAAGTGTGTTGATCTCATTGAAATGTACAAAATTCTAAAAATAAAGACCAAGATGAATTTCTTCATTCAGAGTGAAGGAACTCCAAGGAGGCAGGTATCCCGTCACCATGTCACCCTTTATTTACACACGCACAGTGTATAGGCTCTGACCAGCCAGCTCAGAATGAAGAGATTCTCTGAATCTCCTGTTTCTATCTGTCAGCCAGGGCTCTCTGATTGGCCCAGGTTAACAACCTCAAAATCAAGAATCTCATAGTTAATGAGATCTGATCACTGCACAGAGGATGGTGAATCTCTGAATTCTCCACCCCAGAGAGCTGTGGAGGCTCAGTCATTGAGTTTACTTGAGGCAAAGATCAACATATTTCTTGAGATTAAAGAGATCACAGGATATGGGGATAGGGTTGAAAAATGGCACTGAGACAGGAGATCAGCCATTTAGCTGAACAGCAGGGCAAGTTTGATTGGCCAACCCCTCCCATTTCCACTGATTATATTGCTCTACAAATGGCTATCATGGCTTCACCTACCGGAGTCCCATGGTCTGGAAATCCCCAGTCACAACTCTCCTCTCTACCTCACTCTCCTCTTTAAAACCTACCTCTATGACCAAGCTTTTGGTCATCTCCTCTAACATATCCTTGGATGACTCTTGTAAGATTTTGATGTTTTTAACCCTCCTGTACAGGTGACTGAAAGATTAGAAGACTACGAAACAAAATCTTCTTTGCTATCTTGCTTTCAGGCTCAATCAATTCCAATTGCTCAGCATTGAGATGGATTATATCATATTGGCCAGGTCTGATTAGAACTTATTCTGAACATCTCCAATGGCAATAGGACTCAATGGAAATAGAACACTTGTTAACTTCGTGCATTTGGTGTGGATGATGTGTAAATGTCTTGACTCTGGTTAAGTCCTTTATTCTTTCACTGGCGTTTAGAAGAATTTGTGTGTATGAGTGTGCACATGGAAACCTACACAATTCTAACAGGACTAGACAGGATAAGCAAAAGGAAGGCTGTACCCAAGGACTGGGAAGGCCAAAAACAGGGATCACATGGGGTAGGACTGAGTTGATGAGAAATGTCTTCAACTAGAGAGCGGTGAGCCAGCGAAATTCTCCACCACAGAAAGCAATTGAGGCCAAAATATTGAAGATTTTCAAGGAGGACAGATATAGTTCTTGGGACTAAAGGGATTGAAGGGTAAAGGGAGAAAGCAGGAAGAGGTACTAAGTAGGAGATCAACCATGATCATGTCAAATGGCAGAACAGGCTCAAAAGGACCAAATGTTCCTCATTTCTACCTTTGCAAAAAACAATTTTCAGGTTGTAAAGTGGCTAGCAGATGTCTTGTCATTGTAGCCAAGGTGCCAGGTAAATGCAAGTCCATTCCTGTGTTACCTTTCTTTTGTTTTACGTTCCCATTTCCAGCCCTGTCTGGCACCTGTTGTCCAGTCACCTCCACTCCTGTGGCCGCATCTAGAAGAAATGATATTAGAAACAAAAAATAAGATCACCGCTGAGGCCTCAAATAAAATACTGTGGCCAATTCTGGGTGCTACTCTTTAGGCTGGATGTCAAAGCCTTGGAGAGGCTGCAGAGGGGGATTACTAGAATAGTCCCACAAGCAAGGAGCTCCCATTCACTGGTACGTAGGAGGTTAAGGAGCATAAAATGAGGGGCATGAATAAGGTGAATAGCAAGGGTCTTTCCCTTAAGGTGGAGGGGAGTTCAAAACTAGAGGGCATAGGTGTAAGACGAGAGGAAGAAGATTTGAAAAGGATATGAAGGGGCAACTTTTTTTTTTTTTACACAGAGAATGGTATTTGTGTAGAATGAGCTGCCAGAGGAAGTGGTGGATGCAGGTACAGTTACAACATGTAAAAGTCATTTAGATAGGTACATGAATGGGAAAGGTCTGGGGGCATATGGGCCAACACAAGCAAGTGGAGCTAGTTTAGTTTGGGAACATGGTTGGAATGGACTAGTTGGACCAAAGAGTCTGTTTTCATACTGTATGTCTCCATTATGTGGGCAGACTGGATAAGCTCAGATTGTTCTCCTTCAGGAAGAGAAATTTGACAGAGTTTTCAAAGCCTTGCAGGGTTGTGAAAAGCTAGATAGGGAGACACTGTTTTTGAGTAGCAGGTCGATTGGTGACAACGGGCACAGATTTCAGAAAGCGACAAAGGAATTGAGGGGTTGGGGCAGAAGAGAGAAGAAGAGAGAAATTTTATTTTACACAGGAGTGCTGCTACGATGGAAAATGCACTGGCTGCAAGTGCAGTGGAACCAGATTCAATGTTAACTTTCAATAAGGAATTGAACATATATTTGAAAAGCAAAAATTTGCAAAGCTACGAGGAAAGAGCAGTGGAGTGGTATCAGGTGGATAGGTCTTTCAAAGAGATGGCACAGGCAGGATGAACTGAATGACCTCTTTCTACACTGTCTCACTGTGGTTTAGTGAAATAAAAATCTAAATACTCCAAAGACAAATACTGTCAGTTTCAAATGTGCCATTAAATACACATTGCCCAAAACAGTGGGGTGCAAATTCAACTGGAATGGATGTTGACAGCTGCGATTTAGTAGCCAGCCTCTCTGCTCCCCGAAGTCATTGCCTATTTTGCATCACTGCTTGAGATCAGTTTATAGAGGGTTTCAAATGAAATTGGTTTGGGAGCCAAGAAGTAAAGGTCAGGGCCCTGTGACAGATATTGATTTAGGTAACCCACAAGCCCTCAACCCCTGGAGACGCTTCAGTGTCCCAGACCCACCAGTGAGTGAACATGACATTTTCTCCTTCACCACCCACTGTGCACTGACTCTCCATGCAAAGGGTGGGGAGGGGGCTGATCCAACAGGGGCAGTCTCCATCCATATACAACCTGCCTCTACATAGTGCTTTTAATGTAGTGAAATACCCCAAGTGCTTCACAGGGGGTGCCAGCCAATAAGAAAGGACAAGCCATAGCAAGAGATGTCAGAACAACCAACCAAATGAACTTAAAAAGGGGGTATAAAAAGGCAGAGGTTTCAACCATAAGACATAGGAGTGATAATGGGAATTAGACCAAAAGATAATTAAATGTAAGAGCAGAAGTAGGTTATTTTGCCCATCAAGTCTGTTCTGCTATTTAATGGGGTCATGGCTGATCTGATAATTCTGAACTTCACTTCCCCACCTTTTCTCTCTAACCCTCAACTCTCTTATGGATTAAAAATCTGTATCTCAGCCTTGAATATACTTAACAACTGATCCTCTGTTGCACTCTGAAGTCAAAAATTCCACAGATTCACCACCCTCAAGGAGATAGGGAGGGAACAATTCCATGGCTTAGGACCTAGGTATCTGAAGACACAGTCAAAGGTGAAGCGTGCTTATCTGGATTGTTGTGAGGTTGAAGGAAGTTAGGGATGGAAAGGGGTTGGTAAGGCTCTGGAGGGACTCTAAATCAAGGACTGTGGGATTTAAAGCAAAGCGTTGCCAAATTAAAAGCAAATGAAGGTGAGCAAACACTAGTGGTGACGGGTGGCTGGATCTCAAAGTAAATTAAGCCACTGGCCACAGACAATTAGGGTGAGCTGAAGCCGATGGAGGCACAAAGCTGGCCAGGTGACCACTGGAATAATCAATGTAACAATGGTATGGATAAGGGTTTCAGCAACACATGGGCCAAGGCAGGGACAGAGACAAGTAATACAGAATAAGTTATTGGTTAAGGTGGAATACTGTTTAATTCTGGGCAGTATCCTTTAGGAGGGATATAAAAGCCTCAAAGAAGCTGCAAAAGATACTTCCCAGAATTAAAACAGGGCGCAGAGTTTTAAAGGAGTTTTAAAGAGGTGTTTAAACTGTGATGCATTTTGATAAATACTTGTCCTACAAATCAGAAGGAACTTGCCCTGGCGCTAATATGACTCCAACGTATCACCAAAATATAACCACTCTCATTTCTCTCTGTGGTATCTTGCTGTGTGATGATTCGGTGTCATATGTGCCTAGATTACAACAGGGAACAACTACTCATAGGATGTCACATCATGCTTCACAACCAAAGGATATGAAAGGCACTATGTAAGCGTTAACCCTTAAATAAAGGCTTTCCATGAATTAAAACCATTCAAGTTTTCAATACTCCAGCAGATGGATCAGTGAAGCAAATGAAATACAGATCTACAAGATAGCATAGGAAGAATAGTCAATGTGCAGATGGCCTACTTCCACTTCTATGTCTTATTGCCTTAAAAAGTTGGAAAATTCAAAAATGAATAAAAATGCAGGAAAGACACAGGATGCTGGTGTTCACAAACCTGATGCCCCATGGCTGAGGAGGAAATCCATGTCTGACAAAAGGTATGTCGCTGTATTGTGAAGAGAGGAAAAGAGACTAGAGGTGAGCCATTTAGAGACAAGCGACAGGCAGCTATTAGGCCAACCAGTAATGGAGGTCAGAATCATGAGTCTTAACATTATCCAGTACTCTTCATGAAATAGCCACTGCATCCCATACATCATTGGCAAATGCACAGCCAACAGGAAAGTTTGAAAGACAATTGTTCTTTTGAAGCGCCAACCCTTTCGACTTATTTTTATATCGCAAACCTGCCTTTCTTCTGGCATTCCTATTGTGCACTTGCTGCGTTAACATTCCAATAAGTTGATAAAATGTGGAGCTGGAGAAGCACAGCAGGTCAGACAGCATCCAAGGAGCAGGAAAGTTGACGTTTCGGGTCAGGACCCTTCATCAGGACTGGGGAGGGGCAAGGGAGCTTAGAAATAAATAGAGGGGTGGAGGTGGGGCTGGGAGAAGGTAGGTGGGAGGGTGATAGGTGGATGTAAGTAGGGCATTGTAGAGATTGGTCAATGGGAAGGGTGGGGCAGATAGGTGAGGAGGAAGATGGGCAGGTTGTGTCAGGTCAAGGAGGTGGGGTTGAGAGGGAGAGCTAGACATGGGATAGGGCCGGGGGGGTGGGGAGATTTCGAAGCTGGTGAATTTTATGTTGAGGCCATTGGGCTGTAAGCTCCCGAGGTGGAACATAAGGTGTTGTTCCTCCAGTTTACATGTGACCTCACTGTGATAGTGGAGAACGCCCAGGATGGACATGTCACTAAGGGAGTGGGAGGGGGAGTTGAAATGGCTGGCAACTGGAAGGTGATGTTGATTGGAGCACAGATGCTCCGCGAATCGGTCACCGAGTCTGTGCTTAAGTCTCTCCGATGTAGAGGAGACCACATTGGGAGCACCGATGCAATAGACCAGGTTAGAAGACGTACAGGTGAATCCCTGTCGGATTTGGAATGATTGTTTGGGGCCTTGGACGGAGGTGAGAGGGGAGGTGTAGGGGCAGGTGTAGCCCTGCCTCCTTGACCTGACACAACCTGTCCGTCTTGCTCCTCATCTATCTGCTCCACCCTTCATATTGACCAATCTCTACAACCCCCTACCTGCATCCACCTATCATCCTCCCACCTACCTTCCCCCAGCCCACCCCCCTCTCTCTATTTATTTGAGCTCCCTTGTCCCTCCCCAGTCCTGAAGAAGGGTCCCAACCCAAAACGTTGATGTTCCTGCTCCTCGGATGTTGTCTGACCTGCTGCGCTCCTCCAGCTCCGTATTTTATCGACTCTGACTTCCAGCATCTGCACTCCTCTCCATCTCCTAACATTCCAATAATCCTGTTTTGTCATCAATCTCCAACAATAATTAAAACCTGAAGGAAGGAGACTCTGCGCATTTCGAAGTTGATTTTAACGGCAAAGTTAATGTTTAGCAATGGTTACGACTTATTCGATCGTTGAAAATTTCTTCACACTGGAATGGATCAGCTAAAGTTTTCCTGGAATTTTAGTGGATCTCGATTACCTGAAATGCAACCTCATCATTCATATCTTTCATTGTGAAGTCTCTCAGCAGAATATTGTTATAAGGAGCAGGCAACATCCCAATTACCCCATTTAACTGCACACGTGCAATCACTGGGAAGGTTCCAGAGGATTTACTCTTTGATGAGCAGAGAGCGGCAATAGCTCCAATCTTATACCTACTACAGAATCCAAACCTTTAATGAAAATGTGCAGCTGGAGCATACCTCTTATGTGAAACTATATATTGTCACCACTTCCCACTGTCTGAATCGAGTTATTGTTCCATCATCATTACCCCTTTAAAAAGGAGTAACGTTCACTCAGAATCGGAATGGCAATTTTGCCTACAATGATTAGAAAAATCAAATGCAAAATAAGAATAGCACCGAAGCAAGATGGGGAAAGAGTCTCATTAGATAGCTCTTCCAAAGAGTTAGCATTGAGTGATGGACTGAATGGCCATCTTCTGACCTTTATGATCCTATGATTTTCACTTTTTTGATGGAATCCCAGATACATACTAAAATACCTCACAAATAAGAGAATAGATTTTATATATAAAGCTTTTTTCTTGGAAGAAAAGAAACAAAAATTAAAATTATAATTAGTTCCTGTTCTACAGATTTCAAGTATTTCCTTCAACTATATCAACCAAAATTTGCTTAGAGGAGCCCAACACTGAGATATCTTCAATTCATATTATAGTCCCTGTTACTCAACTACAACTCCCACAAAAGTAGCTCTCTCCAGTTGGAATGTTGACACAAAATTTAAAGCATTTTAATGCTTCAAAAGGTATTGAGAAAGCAAGGTCTCATAAGGCCATTTGGTATAGAATGTAGGAAGTGTTTCTTCACCATTAAAGAGTAAATTGTGCAAGAGACGTTGCATAAACTTGGTTCATTTTCCTTGGAGTTCAGATTGTTGAGGATGATCTGCTCAAATGTCAGTAAAACGATAAAGGGATCCAACAAGGTAAACAGAGAGAAAAGCTATTTCCTCCATTGGGGGAATGCAGAACAAAGGGACAGAATCTTCAACGTTAGAGTTGGAGTATGAGAGAGTGAAATCAGTAAGCACGTTTTCACATCACAGGCACAGGAAATCTGGAATTCTCTCCCCCAAATAGCTGCAGGCGATCAGGGTCATTTGGAGCTTTTCAGACTGAGATTGCCAGCTTTATTCCTGGACAAAGGATATATACAGTGGAACAGGGTAAGTAGAGTAAGGGCACAGACCAGTCAAAATCTGATCAAACTGTGGAACAGGATGGATAAATGTCTACCTCCTGTCGCAATGATTCTATCAAGTTAAGGGCAGAATCTGTAGTTGATGCTGGAGCTTTTTTCATAATTCCATCTGTTAATTACAGGTATAATGAATTACACTAAATCCTGAGCAGAATCTGTAAGTCAAGGGTCTGTTAGTGGAAGGTGTTTTTCTAAAGAGTCACATGACAAACATTGTTGCACTGTTACAGATACTTCCACTTTTGGACACAATGTAGCCTGACATACAGGGCTGCTACAACGTGGATAACACCCGCAGAAAGGTTGGAAACATAGTGAATAGGGACTTTTAAAAGGCAACCGGACACATTCTAGAAGAGGACTAATTTATAAGCTGTAGGGGCAAAAGGTGGCGATGCGGCACTGAATTTGACAGCCCATCTGGAGTTCAGGCACAGCCTCATGGGCTGAAGAGTCTCACCACTTATTTGTCGTTAATTCCTCAGGGGAGAACAAAATGTAGGATTAGAAAAAAGTACAATAAAAAAAACGTACTCTGCACACATACCATGAGACACATCAGCCAAGGGATCCTCAGTGAAGTATTGAGCAGCTTCTAGTGCTGGTTCCTCCTCTGGCCAAAGAGCTGCAAAAGAAATGGGGGCATTGAAACTGAGTTACAAATGTACATTGTAGACAAGGATCCCACTCGGCAAAGAGTTGTACCACAGAGCTCCTTTATTTAAAAAAAATATATACATTTAACCACATAATCTAAAGAATTCTGACAATTCCTTCCCCTAACTGCAACAAGGAGAAGAGCAGAAAGCATGTGACCACAGTCCCATGCTATGCAGCCAGACTCCCCTTTCCTGGAGATCATTAAAACACCAATTCTGATTCTAACATCCTCCACCCTCACCACCCCAAGTGAATCACATTGCATTTCACAACTTGCAGGATTTTCTTTTGTTCATTTATGGGATTTATTCAGTGTCAAAACTGTGTCTTGAGCTCTTTCCACAGTGTAGGACTGAGCCACACAAGTCCATTCTGGATTCATTTCCCATCTTAGCGGAGATGAAACTATAGCTTACTCAGGAGTTTGGGCACAAGTGTTCCACCCATTGCTTTTACTGATCACTAGCCCATGAATCCAGCTGGGAACAGATGTGATGCCTTTTACAGTCAAGTATCTGTTGCATTCATTGTACAGGGCTTCTTTTCTTCCCATTCATTCACAGAATGAGGGCATCGTTGGCTAGACCAATGTTCATTGCCCATCCTTAACTGCCCAAAAGGGGTTGAGAGTCAACTGCATTTTTGTGAATCTGGAGTCACATGTAAGCCACACTAGGTAAGGATGGTGGTTTCCTTCCCTACAGGATATTAGTGAACCAGGTGGATTTTCTTAGAATCCTTACAGTGTGGAAGCAGGACATTCTGCCCAACAAGTCCACACCAACTCTTGGAAGATCATCCCACCCAGACCCATCCCCGTAACCCTGCATTTCGCATGGCTAATACACCTAACCTACACATCCTTGAACACTACGTGTAATTTCCTATGGCTAATCCAGCTAATCTGCACATCTTTGGACTGTGGGAGGAAACCTACACAGACATGGGGAGAATGTGCAAACTCCACACAGACAGTTGCCCAAGGTGGAATCAAACTCAGGTCCCTGGCGCTGTGAGGCTGCAGTGCTAACCACTGAGGCACAGTGCCACCCTTTTTTTTTCAGACAATGGACAATGATTTCATGATCACCATTAGATGATCATCATTTTAATTCCAGATTTTTTATTGAATTCACATTTCACCATCTGCCATGGCAGGATTTGAACCCACGTCCCCAGAACATTACCTAGGTCTCTGGATTAA